GGAATAAGCCCCCCCCCCCCCAAATTTAAATTAGTGATGAGTGGCAAAAGTTCGCAGTCCCTGAATAAAAAATATTCAAGCTTTGGATCAATTAACTACATAATTTCATTAATTTCACTGATTTAATACCTTTATCTAATTATTTCATAAAATTTTATTCAATTATTTCATAAATATCCGAAATCGGGACGTCTGGAAACAGAGGCAACCCTAGCCCCCACCGCTAGGGACAGGGTTGCCTCTGTTGCCTGTAGGTGTGTGTAATAAGTAGCAGCAGCCAAACTTTACGCGCTGCACTGCTAAGCGGCATTGTCTAGATACGATGTTAATCTGTAGCAACGTTGTTTTTGCTGTTTTTTCAATAATTTGAATAAAAACAATTTTGACTAAATATTTATTAAAATATAAGGTTTTTGGGAGTATCAGCCAAAAAAAATTCGGCGGGGCCTCTGGCAACGCCTGCGACGAGCGACCTCGGAGCAGGGGCTTCAGCCCCCCCAGCACAGATGGGCTAGAGCCGCCTATGTTTCCAATCACAATGCAGCAATCTCCTGCACGAGAAGAACTATTAAGTCTGATCGACTGTAAATGTAGAAACGACTGCCAAAAAAATGTATATGTTCACAAGTCAGACTCTGCAGTTCTATATGCCTTCACTGCGATGGAATAACTTCAAGTATGCTTGTAGTCAGGGCCGGCTTAAGGGGGGGGCGAGATGGGCGGCCACCCAGGGCGGCACGATCCAGGGGCGGCAAATTCATACCATACAACAACAAAAATTAATAGAAAATGAAACCAACGAGTCCAACGACCTAAAAAAAATTAAGAAATATAAATCGAACAGCGAACCAATTATACAGGGTGTTTGGTACATCGATAGGAAGATTTCAAGAAGATTTCAATGAGTGATAGTTGGGGTCATTTGGAAGCTATTTGACCATATTTACCCTCATGCAAAGTTTCGCCGTTTTTTGAGATATCGCCATTTTAGATATTTTGAATCCATGTATTTTAATACAGTGCCTCTCTACAAGACAGTGGCGACAATAGCGCCTAAGCTCCGCCCACCCGCCATGTTTTGTCAAACTCCGTCAATAGTGTATTTGTTTTTTCTTTTCTTTCTGTTCCAACTTTTTATCACAAAATAGCCAATAACAGGCACAAATAACAAAAACAAAATTATATTAACACAAAATTGCATAAATCTCCATAGGATCAAATGGTTTTACACAAATAACTTTAGCGCCTAAGCTCCGCCTACCCGCCATGTTTTGTCGAACTCATTCAATAATGTATTTGTTCTTTCTGTTCTAATTTTTCCTGACAAAATAGTCAATAACAGGCACAAATAACAAAAACAAAATTAAATTAACACAAAATTGCATAAATCTCCATAGAATCAAAAGGTAAACACAAATAACTTTCGACAAAACATAGCCGATATTCTGCAGCCAATCAAAAATGAGTCCCTCTATTGTCGCCACTGTCTTGTATAGAGGCACTGTATATTTTAACACATAACTTGGGCTACATATTTTTTGTATCAATCATTCGGATTTTCTTTCCGAGTTTTTCGAAAGAGTGCATATCAGGAATATCGGGAAAAAAATTGAGAAAGGTTAAAATGGTTATTCCAAAAAAAAACAATATGTTTTAGGAACAATTCAACTATTTCCCAAAAATATCTAAAAATGCTGATATCTCAAAAACGACAAAATTTTGCATAAGGGTAAATATGATCAAACAGCTCCCAAATGACCCCAACTAGTGATAGGAAGTTTTAAACAATGAGTAATCATTAAAAACTTCCTATCGATGTACCAAACACTCTGTATTATAGGATAGGTGTCATTTTGGACAATTGAACCAGCACAGTGGGCATTTCAACTTCTTATTCTTATATGATATCCATTTACTACAAAAAACTTCATCTAGAAGAGTTATCGGAATATTGCAAATATTTATAATATGTATATTTTTATGCATGACAATTCTTTCGATGTCAATGTGGCATAATTAGCTGATGAACTATCTGTGATAGCCGGTACTGGATATTGCACCGAATGTTGTTGTGGCCCTCAGATCCTCAGCATTTAATAAAATCGTATTCAAGATCATCTCGGCCAAGAAAAAGTAAGCAGTGAGCATGTTAGAAATGAATCATCTACTTGAAGATTTTGCTGCATTCAAAGCTCGAAAATATCTTAAATAATATCCCAATAATTTTATTGAAAATGTACCATCGTCACCAAAAGTATCCGGGACACAAATAATGCATGATAATCTCCTGGACTAATTCTAATGTCATTCATTTCAATGCATTTAATGCATAGTTTGGACAAGTATTTGACAATAAAATTCATATAATAGGACAAGAGCTAATGTGATACTGTCCCAGTTACTTTTGGTGACGATGGTACCTACTTACCTTAATGGTACAAAACGATGGACATTTTTTTAAAGTCTGTTTAACATCAAAACATCCGAGGACTAAAATACAACGTTGTATAAACGTTTGCAAAAAATCATTTTTAAAAACGACAAAAAAAGACGTTCGAGATATATTCACAAACATAAGCATAGAGTTCTGAAAGAAAAGTATTGGAAACTACTGTTTTTGCACGTGGTAATGTCCATGTCCGAGTGTTTAAAAAGGTAAAGAAAGGACGTTCTTTAGACGTTTGATTAAGTTGTTTTCAAAACCTCTGTTAGGAACGATTAAAGAACGTCAGAATATTTTCTATGAGTTTGTAAAAGTATATTTTCATGAAAAGTCATGAGAGACGTTTTATAAAGGTTTCGGTTGGTCGTTTTCGGGAACACCGTTGGAAACATGTAGGTATCCTACGTCCACAAGTCCGGAAATTAGTTCGAAAAAGACGTTTGTAAAAGGTTGTTTGTAACTGTGATATTTGCACTAGCTATAAAATAAGTCTATAGGATGGTGTTGGATACTTTGAAGGAAGTCTAGTGAATGTTCATAGAGATTTTTGAAAAACGTCCTTTTTCGTTTTTAAGCGTTCGTATTAAAACATTTTTGAAACCCTCATTTTCGACGTCTATATGACGTTTGAAATGACATTTGCACCAAATAAAAATGCACCTTTGGAGATTCTCAGTTACTTTTACTGACGTTTTTGAAACGTTCTGACGTCCGATAGGATAATTTTTTGAAACGTTTCTGTGCTATTAGGGTATCTACATAATGTATCTGTTGATTGTTGCCAAGAGCTTGGATTGGCTGACTCTTACTTTGTTTGTTTTGTTTCTTGTTTTCTTATGTTAGGTTTTTTTTTGTGGTTACCTAAGTTACATTATATAGTATGTGGTTTTATTGCTTACTGTTTCGTGTAATTATTTTTTGTTTCTACAATTCAAGATCTCTCACATTTTCCCTAAGCGGGCGATGGGATGGGGCGGCAAATTTACTCATTGCCCAGGGCGGCAAAATACCTAGAGCCGGCCCTGCTTGTAGTCTAGGAAAATAGTCGAAAAATACATGCATTGCAAAAAAAAATATCCTACCCAAATGAACTTTTCAGGGATGATAGGGGGCGGGTGGATGATCATAAAACCGAAAATATCAAACATTCACCCCTCTGGCGTTTTGCGCTATAGAGGTTGAAAGTGCGCCATTGGCGATTACTACTATGAAGTTTTTACTCACCCCCTGCCGTTTTTCAATAAGGGTAGTTTAAAGTTTATTTATTATTTTACGAAAAAAATTTCTCAATAAAAGTATTATAAGATTACATTTCTTACAATTTTTCCCAATCAACTTTTTTTGTAACTCACCCCTATTCAGCGGGGGGACGCTTCCCTTAGGGAAATTTTAGTTTTTAGGGGTATATATTAATTTTTTTTTTCTTTTCTCGCCTTTAGTGCATATAAAAAGGTGCAATTAACATTGTGTTAAAAGGATTTTTTTCCACCATCTTTTTGTTTTTAGGGGTAGTTCGCCTATTTTTAACTTTACAAAAAAAAATTATAGAGAAAAGTTATTCAAGATAATAAAATAAACAAGTTTTCTCAATATTTTTTTTTTTAAGTTGAAAATAGGCGAACCACCCCTAAAAACAAAAAGGTGGTGGAAAAAAAATCCTTTCAATACCAGGTGTCCCACTAAGGTCGGCCAGGTACGATATTATGGAAACCATAGACCTTACGGCTTCGGGATTTTTTTTTTCTCCACTAAATCGGCCAAGAGAAATTGATGAAAACTATTTTCAAGTTTCTAGGATGACCGCTAGGGGGCGCAATTAAGATGATATAGCTAAAAATTCAACTTTTCTCAAGAAATCGCTATATTAAGATACTGTTTTAACAACAGAAATCAAAAGTTCATTAATTTTTGCGCCAGTTTGGTCATTAGGCTATTTTTCGTATCTTCAGTAATAAGGGTGGGGGAAGCTGATGAATATTTTTTTTTAAATTGCTGTATCTTCCATACCCCTCATTCAAACTCATTCAATTTGGGTTTATTTGGAAGAGAATTTCATTGTTATCAAGAACACCACTTCGTTCGAGGTCGATAGTTCCCACGGCGTCTTCTAGAGGGCGCTGTTTATTCAAGATCCAGTTTTTTCTAATTTTCATGAAAAATCCAAATGGCATAATATTATTTTTGTATTGCTGTGCTTAATGAGCAAAAAAATATCTACATTTTGGCGCAAATCGCAATTCAATATCTGCATTCGTTTTCAAGTTATGTAAGGTCTATGGTCTCCATAATATCGTACCTGGCCGACCTTAGTGGGACACCCGGTACAATGTTAATTGCCACTTTTTATATGCATTAAAGGCGAGAAAAGAAAAAAAAATTAGTATATACCCCTAAAAACTAAAATTTCCCTAAGGGAAGTGTCCCCCTGCTGAATAGGGGTGAGTTACAAAAAAATTTGATTGGGAAAAATTGTAAGAAATGTAATCTTATAATACTTTTATCAAGAAATTTTTTTTGTGAAAAAATAAATAAACTTTGAACTACCCTTATTGAAAAACGGCAGGGGGTGAGTAAAAACTTCATAAAGCAAAAATGTTGTATGTGTTGTAGAAATTTTTTTCACGTTGGTTAAAATTTTTCATTTTCATTATAAAATTTCAAACGGCCCTTATGACCACAGATGGCCCTTAATAAAAAAATTCTTCAGATAAACATTGTAGATCAAATAATGTTGCACATCTTTTATTTCAAACATTTTTTTGTAAAATCAATAGGTACCAAGTAATCGCCAATGGCGCACTTTCAACCCCTATAGCGCAAAACGCCAGAGGGGTGAATGTTTGATATTTTCGGTTTTATGATCACCCACCCTCCCCCTATCATTCCTGAAAAGTTCTTTTGGCTAGGATTTTTTTTGTTGAAAATCGACAATTTTCCTAGACTATTGTGTTCTAGACGAGGATCATTTCAATGACTGAGTTTTTGTTTCGTTTTTCGTTTTTATTTATTTTTTTTTATTTTTAGGAAATTTATATCTTGGTCATATCTAAAATAAAAGTCAATTTCTTTGTAATTTTTAGCTCAAATTCCGTGAAGAAAAAAAAAATGTTTAAATTGCTCCAAGGGACAAGAAGATATTTCATATAAAATTTGCCTGGTCTAATGGAATTTCGGAAAAAATGTCATCCACCGTAGTGAACGCGCAAAAATGGAGAATCAAGAGAGGAAATTGTTCCTAAAATATTTTGTTATAGTTTAGTAGGTATTCATTACAAAAAATTATTTTTGTCAAAAACAAACTTGTATTTCTATTTACATATAAAATTTATCACAATTATTATAAAATGTATCTTACAAAATTTAAAATACATATTTACATGATTTCTTAATTATCTACTTCCAAATCAACCACCCTTTTCCTCTTAAAACTCTTCTTTCCTCTAATTTCTTCCAACTTTCTTTTCTTGGAAATTTTCTTCTTCTCATGTATTTTAATCTTCTTTTTGGCGTACACTTCTGGATCAGTAATGGCCAACTGACTTCTATCCCTTTTTCTTTCAGCCCTTTTCACTGTTAAAGTTTGCTGTAACTTTTGCAATATTTTCATATATTCCTCAATGCCTAGTTTCTTTTTAAATAAACCAGCCACTTCTTTGCCCAGTTGCCTTAGAGGGGCATTTTTTTCTTCAGTAGTAATCATTTCCCTTACTAAAGGAGCTAATAAGTGATGCACCACAGGCCGAATATTTTCTATATCCAATGCAGTCACTACACCAGCTATCCATTTGAAAACTTCCATCCTCAAAATAGTGCTATCACTTGTTTCAATAACCTCAGCATTGACAATTTTACGCATCCTTTTACTGAGCCACAATAAATTAATGCTTATTTTAGAATCAAATGGGATTTTTTGCAAAACTCGTGCAATAAATACTAAATTTTTAATAACTTGTTCTGCCATATCGCTATTAATATCACCAGGCTGCAACTGATCACATAAATCTAATGTTAAGCTTTTAATGCAATTCTCTGGATCACTGAAAAGATATCCAGCTAGTGATTCTCCATTTAACAGCAATGTTGCTAATTTATCAGCATCCATAGATGATAAAATAAAACCTAGAAATTGCGCTGCCGATAAACGCACCCAATCGTGGGGATAGGCCAACAAGGTTTGCGTGTAATAAGCTAAATTTTCAATGGCTTCAGTATTTTTCAAAAATGCTGGACAATGGGCACAAACTTTTAAAATCAGTTGCAATACTTGATAGTGATGGTGGTCCTTCAAGCGCTGCATTTCTTCAGGGAGGTCTTTCTGTTTGTTAAGTTTTACGAATTTTCCTGGGCTTTGATTGGTCAAACCGAATTGTTTTAGAATAAGAGGCACAGCTTCTGGTAAACGAGATTCGAAATCGCTTTTTTCGACTGTAACGAAGATTCCACAAAGTTGGGCTGACAAACGGCGATGACTCAACTGAAAAACAGAAATAAATAAGATTGAAATTATTCATTGAATTAAATTAACATACTTCTTTGTCTTTTAGCCATAAAGTCAAAATTTCAAATAAAGGATCCCTGGCAGTTTTTGGGAATTTTTGAAGCATTGAAGATATGCAATCGGCAACCATTTTTCTGCATTCTGGAACTTCGTCGTTGACCAATCTGGCTCCTAGAGTTATGAGGAGGGTACCGCTGTGGTTTTTTAGGACTGGCTAGAATATCAAAATTAAAATTAGGGGCTGTAGATATCCGATATACATCAGATCTTACATTAACCAACCAGACAGTTGAAAAATGATATTAAAATCTCTAGAATAATTTCTAAAATCAAAACTTACCAGTGGAAATGAATTGATAAACAAATTGATCATTTCAATAGCAGATTCTCGTCCATATTGCATATCGAAGCTCATTTGGGAAATGTAGAAGCTCAAATGCTTTTCTACAGCGTTTCCCAGTGGGTATTCCATAATGAATTGATGGAAAACTGACCTAAAAGAAATATAATGAAGGTAATAACTGAATAACTCGAAAAAATTGGTTATAATTGAACAGATGTGTGGAGTTATTTGACGACTGTGTAGTTAATAGGAAAGTCATTTCAATGGTCATTAATCACAGTTTCATTGTTAAGATGGTTCCTTCAAATCATTTCAGAAAAAGTTAAGTAATGTTGTTTCATAGGTTTTTAGAGTCAACGATTCAGAAGCTAAGAATATATTTCCTCTATCTCAACAATGTTTTTAGAAATCTGCATGACATTAACCATAGAGTCAAGGAAAAGCAAAGGGTTATTTAGTACCAACTTCGAAATTCTTCATCACACAACTAATAGCATGAAACTCGACATGAATCAGGGAAGCGTTTCAGAAAAATTTGAGTGTCATTGTCATTTCATAGGTTTTAAGGGGCAAAAATTTTGAATTTGAAGCTATATTTCTTCTACCTCTATTATTATTCTAGAACTCCGTAATTTACCATAGAATCAAGATATGCAAAAATTAATACCAATTTCGGTATACTTGCCCTCGAAAACCTGTATAACTATTAGACATAAATCAGTGATTTGTGTAGAAGTTCCTTTGAATCATTTCAAAAAAACTTGAATATCGATTTTTGAATTTTTATTGTCCCGGATTTTGAATCTGGCTGTGTGTTTTGCCTCTCTACTTTTTCTTTTTCTCTATAGAAATCCACATGAAAATGCCTACAGAATGAAGATGGGCAAAACTTTTTTCTGGTTACGAATGGGTAATTTATTGAAGAAAAATTAGGCTGGAAGTTTGAAATTGACTTCCAAGAAATATTCACTTGCACGCTTGTTTCACAAAATTTGGGGAAATTTCCAGTGTAAAAAGTATCCTTTATGAAACTAGAAACATATTTTCTATTCATATTATTATTGAAGTGATATAATGCTGCTTGTAGCTTAGTAACCCTACTTTTCTCTATAGATTATTGAGCATTTTCTTCTTCTCTTCATTTTCATTTCTCAATAGCGTAATTGCTTTTTCCATATCCTTCATCATTCTTTGTTCATTTCTAAACAAAGGTCTCTTTCACCTGTTTCCACGGCGACTCTGTTTTTCGCTGTCTGGTACCATCTCTTGCTGGATATTCTCTCTATATTATTATTATTATTATTATAGGGGTTTTTGACAGTAGGCGGAAAAACCGGTAGACTTAGACTGTCATTAGTTCTTGTGCTGGGAATGTTACTTGCCAGTACACTATTTTACGGCCTATCACTAAAATATTTATCAAGTCTGTTCTTAAAGGCATTCACACTAGGGGAGGTTACAATCTCGTCAGGGAGCTGATTCCACTGTTGCACCACTCGATTTGTGAAAAAATTCTTCCTGGAAAGCCTGTGACAAAGTTCGGCGGAGAGCTTCAGGGAGTGTCCACGAAGATGACGGTTGATATTTCTGTGAAAGAAATCAGGAAAGTAGGATTTTGTATCTTTGGATTAAGTATCATCTATTTCTGCGTTCCTCCAGAGTTGTCAGATTAAGAGCTTTCAGTCGTTCTTCATAAGACAATTCTCTTAAAGATGGTGGAATCTTGGTTGCCCTCCTCTGGACACGCTCAATCAGATCTATGTCTTTTCTGAAATAGGGACACCAAACCACAACTGCATGCTCCAGCAGTGGTCTGACGTAGGTTTTGTAGGCTTGGAGAAACACTTCAGGGGACATTTCCCTGAAACATCGTCGTATCAAATAGACTGTTGAGTCGGCTCGCTTCACGATTGCATGTATGTGCTGTTTCCATTTTAGGTCATGTGAGATATTAATTCCTAAGTCGGCCTGCTCAGTCACCCTTTCCAAGTTGTTATTGCCCATATGGTAATCCAGCATAGGATTGTTGTATCCAATATGCAACACACAACATTTGCTAACCTTAAGTTTCAATAACCAGTCCTTCGTCCACCTATCCAGCTCAGCAAGATCCTCAACCATGGCACCATGTTGGAATGTAGGGTCACAAAATATCTTGGTGTCATCGGCATACATACTGGTCCTACAGGACATGTTCTGGGCAATATCTGAGACATAAATTATGAATAGAAGTGGGCCCAGCACAGAGCCCTGTGGAACTCCACTGACTACACTGTGCCTGCCCGATAAGGTGCCATTTTTTCTGACTTGGTATGTCCGACTACTCAAGTAGTCCCAAATCCATCGAAGCAGCCGACCCCGTATACCACAATGCTCAAGCTTGTGAAGCAGTCTCTCTGAAGGAACAGTGTCAAACGCCTTTTCAAAGTCGAGGTACACAACGTCAATTGGATAATGCTCTGCAGATGACTTGGTCCAGTGTTCCAGGCTGGACAGGAGATTGGATGTAACTGATCTCCCCGGCAGAAAACCATGCTGATTGGATAGTCGATCACCATGATGGGTCATAAGGAATTCTGTCATTTCAGTAGCTATAATCTTTTCCATACATTTGCAGGATATAGATGTTAAACTGATAGGCCTATAGTTTTCAGCTAAGTGTTTATCGCCCTTCTTATAGATCGGAATAACAATTCATTTTTCCACGCTTCTGGGACTGTGCCATCTGTAAATGATTCTGTCATTGTTCTTGCAATGATTCAACTCATGGTCGCGCTGCAGTTTTGTGAATTTTGGGGATACATTATCAGGTCCTGGACTGGCAGAGAGCTTCAGATCAAGCAGCACCTTTTTCACCTTCTGTGGGGTAAAAACAATATTTTCAAGTGTGGGTCCTAACCGTTTGGCTGCGGGAAGTTGTGGTATAGTTGTTGTGTCTTCGTGTATAAATACTCTGTCAAATTGATTGCTGAATATTTCCCCCACTCTTTGTGGTTCAGACTCCAGATGGTTGTCTGAATCTCTCAAGACAAAGTTTTAAAGCCTAGATTGAAGCGAACGGTTGATATACTGATAGAACCTTCTTGGAGCCTGCTCTAGGAGACTGCTCTCAAAATTCAACCGAGCATTTCTTAATGTTTGGGTGATCCAGTTTTTCAGCACATTGTATGCCCGTAGGTCACAATTCTCACCAGAACTTCTGTATAAATGCCATGCTTTTCTTTTTTGGTTTATCAATGTAACATGAGCTTTAGTAACCCACGGTTTTTTAAAGGTCTTCACTTGACGCTGAAGAGGCACATAGATTTCTGATATGTGGTCCACTACTTCGACAAAGTTATTACAACAGGTTGAGCTGTTGTTTGGTTCCCATTGCTCAAAAAATGATTTATGGCGTCGTAGTCTCCCTTCCAGAGGTTTTTGCATGTGTCTTTTTACAGCTTTGACAACTGGAAGTAGGGTCATCTGGGCTGTGGCCACAACAGTAACATGATCAGTTTTACCTATTGGGGGTGCAGACGTTATACTTGTCACCTACCTTTCGTCTGATACCAAGAACAAGTCGAGTAATGAGGGGACGGTACCCTCCCGAAAACGAGTATTAAAGTCGATTAACTGATGCAGTCTTGATTCCTGTTAGGCCCGTAAAAATTCTTCAGCAGGAACACTATGTTTAGTCACTTTACCGGTGGACCAATCTATTTCAGGATAATTAAAATCACCATAAATTATTGTGGTAAAAGAATCATTTAGCCTGTTTAGCATATCCACAATCAAGTTGTTATCCTCAGACAAACATCCAGGAGGTCGGTAAATACACCCCACCAGCAGCCGGACAGCACCAACCCTCAGGTCGACAAAAACACTATCCACCACAGTTAGCCCGACATTAAATTCTTCTTGCCTTACACAGTGAGACTATGGTTGTGCGATCCTTTCTGAATAATCCGCGTGTGGCTAAATTCAGCTGGTTTAGGCACCGCGGTGGAATGGTAGAACAAGCGGTGTTGTTAAATTAAACAGGATTTGGCAAGCTGTGGTTTGGCATTGGCATTAGTGAATTTTAATCACCGCATCTGTGGCGGTGCACCATTTTGGTGAATTTAGCATCACGCGGCATGTGTAGCCATGTATACCAATCAAAGCGTCTGGTATATGTGTGTTCAACCATGTTTCAGTGATATAAATTAAGTCTGGCTTTTCGTCTAGAATTTCAATGACAAATTATACAAACTTGGACATGAGCGAGCATAAATTGGTACACAACATTAATATGAAGGAGTAGGTTTGGGCATTTAGTTTTTTGAGTGGTCAGTACTGAGGCCATGTACCCCAGATACTTTAACCTTAATTACTTTTGGAAGATATTGTTATTTCTTGCTTTTGGGTTTCAAATAAGTCCACTGGAATTTCTATTTACAATATATATTACACTGTACATTAAACTTTAGATTTACTCGTAATAAAGACAATTTTCAAAATTCTGATTATCAAAACAACAACAAGCTTACATTTTTTAACCAAGAGCTACTACTATACAAAAATCAATAATCTTCTTTCTTTTTTTTACTGTCAGTCAGTACTGTCTAACTATGTGCAGTTTGCACCGTTACCATTTAACTACATAAAGAACGCCATCTATTGTACGCTAACAAGAAATCATTGCAACAAGGAAATCTTCAACTTACAACACCCTCTCTCAATGATTTTCTTGTTACAAGTCTAATATTTACATTATTTACATAATATAATGACATTAACCTCCAATAACTATACTTACGATTTACACAATATAAAATTAACAAAATTCTCAACCATTGAACTTATTTACAAAATCCTATTTACATGAAATGTCCGATTATCATAATCTACTGATACATCATTAAATTATAATAATAAACATAATAAAGAAAACTTTATCCCTCTCTTATTCCTAATCCTATTCGATTACAATTGGTATAAAATTGAAGTCTGTGAAGACCTTTTGTCAGCAAATCTGCTAATTGATTCTTGGTATTTAAATATTCTAAAGACATAGTTTTGGAATTTAAATTTTCACAAATAAAGCGATATCTGAGATCGATATGTTTCACTCGTTTATTGTTTTCTGGGTTTTTAATTAACGCTATGCAACCCTGATTGTCTTCAAAC